GGTGACCATCCACATCTCCTTAAATTCTAAGTTAACTCAATTAAATCTTGAAATGATTCTTTTGTTCTAATTTCACAGTTCTTTTTCTTTTATAATAATAAATTAATAAAAAATAAAGAAAAGATAAAATCAATTATTGACGTTCTGGTAAATTTAATGGGAAAGAATTATATTGATTCATTGATTGAACGATATTAAAGAGATGGTCACTTACTTCATCTTTTGGATCTGTCTTAGACCAAACTCTTTCAAAGAATTCAACATTAAAGAATAAACTAAATAAGTCTCGTAATTTGGATAAATTCTTTGGTGAGAGACAAGGACGTAATGTTTGAATTAATTGTGTTTTAATTTCATTATTTAATAAGTCAACAAGATTTTTAAATCCAGCTTGAAGATATTCTGCTTTTTTTAATCCAAAATATCTAAATAGTTGATCAAACATAGTAAAAGCATTACGAAGAGGTTTATCTAATGCATAGATTTGTTCATTTGAAATATTTTTATGTTGCCATTCCATATAACATTTAGCAACTAATTTCATTATAAACTTTTCATATTTCTTTGCTTCTTCTTTTCCTGCATCAATTTCAATTAATTTTTCTATTGCTTTTAATAAATTATTCATTTCATCATTCATAACAAAACTTGCACTTCCACTTCCTCCAACTGATGCAACAGTATTTCTTGTAATTTTATCCATTAAACTTCTTTTAGACTTTTTAATTAATGTTTTACTTGGAGCAGATTGTGGGGTAAGTTTACAATGTTTTTCAAAGGTGTCAATCCATAATTTAAAAGCATCAGCACTTCTAATCCAATAAGTGTTATTTTATTTTAATCAAGCAAATCTTTTTTTATGTTTTGGTTTTGCATTATTCTATTTACTATACTAATATAATAAAATTACTATAATAGTATAGTAAATAGAAAGAAGATTAGAAGAAATAACAAACGTTTTGAACTGATTTACTGTTGACCCAACAGTTATATGAAATGAATTTTTATGTTCATTTAATTTATCTTTTGGATCAGCATTTAATACTAACCCAGCTAATTCTATTGATCCTTCTGGTTTATCATCAAGCTCAGTTTTATAATAATATAATGTAGAGCCATTGACAATAACAAATCGTAACTTCCATTTTTTCTTTAATTTGCATTCCAAATATCCTTCAAACATATCAGCAACTGTTTCGCTCATAGAAATTAATTTAATCTACAAAAAGAGATCTTTTGTGGAAACTTTTTCATTGCAAAAATAAAAAACAGAAAGAAAGAAGTTTGAAAAAAGAAAAAGAGTAAATTAATCAGAGTTGTCCTTGATATTTATTAACACTTAATATATCACCAACTGCTCCCCATGTTGACCATTTATATTGAAATATAATATTCCATAATAATAGTAATGAAAATTCTATGATTATTAAGACTGCTGCTAAAATAATGTCTATTCATTATTATTTTTTATTTTAATTCATTAAAAACAACAAACACCTATTTCTATAACTAGCCAACGGCGACACATATTTGAATAAAAACCAAATTAATACCATCCACATTACTGGCATAAAGAAAAATCCACAAATAAATAATATTTTACAAATTTTTCTTGCTTTGATATTGTTAAGAGTGTCAGCATGAAAGAACATTGAATTGAATGAATAAAGTTCTTCTTAGAAAATATAAAACAAATAAATAATCAAAACCATTTATTTGATGTATTGAAGGTATTGGGTATTAAAAAGATTTTCATAATACATAATACCTTCTTCTGATTCATCTCGACAAATTAATTCATTTTGTTCTAATTGGTCCATTAATGTTTGGACAATTGCATATTGAATTCCATAATGTTGTGCAATTGTAAAACTATTAATTTTCTGTCGTGATTTCAATGCATCAAGAATGGTATTTTGAAAATTTTCTAATGTAAAGTCTCTTTCATGAATAATCAATGATTTATTGACATTCATTAATCCAACATATTTACCTTTATCATTAAGTAATTCACATACATTTCTTAATTCTTGTGGACTAATTAAAATGCCACGAGCTCTATTGTAAATAGCATATAAATCAGGTAACATTATTGCCATTTCTCTTTTCTTTTGAAAATATAAATGACAAAATTCATCAATTTCATCCATTAATGCTTCTTCATAATTATTTCCATATAATTGTTTAGTAACTGGTTCAGTAATATCAAGGTATGTTATTAATGATTGATATTCATGATTCTCTTTTTCCATATTTGATTCTTTTAAAAATTTTGTTGCTACCTTATCTAATTGGTCCCAATATTGTATTATTGTATCTAATGACTCAAATGCATTGGAAAAGAGGTTGTCAATATCGTTTCGATCTTTTTCTTTCGCTTCAATATATGATTTAATTCCGTATTGTGGTGGATTGGACATAGAAAGTAAATCTCTAAATAAACAAACTAAAAATAATAAAAGAAGTATGCAAACAAATTGTATTGAAACAATTTATTCAATAGATAACTTTGATATATATTCTACTGAGTGGAATGTTGAAAAACCACAAGCTATGCTTATTTTAATTCATGGGTTTTGTACTTATGCTGGTGTGATGAAAAGAATGGCTAATATGTTAGTTTCACATAACATCTTATTGTGTATGCCAGATTTACCTTATCATGGAAGGTCAAGTGGTGAACCAAAAGGATGGGTAAATTCATTTACTACATTTACTGAAGTATGTAATAAATATATTGACCAAGTAAAAGAAAAATATAATCCAAATGGGACAATTCCAATATATATTATGGGACATTCAATGGGTGGATTAATTGTTTCAATTATTGCTCATCAAAGAAAAGACTTAAAAGGAGTAATTGGGAGTGCACCAGCATATGAAATTAATAATACTATGGTAATGCTATTTTATTTAATAATAGTCGTTGTCTTATATTTTATTCCTAAATTATATTTACCATCACAATATTCAGATAAAGAATTTCCACGTAAAGAAGTTCGTCAAATGTTTGAAGAAGATCAATATGTTACAAAAGGTAAAACTTATCTTAAGACTATTGTTGAAATGACAAAATATGGTGAAAGAGAAAAGTATAATGATATATTTATACCATTTTTATTAATTCAAGGAACAAATGATGAGTCTGTGACAATGGAAGGTGCTCAAATTAAATCCACTCATTTAAAAAATCAATATAGTCAATTTCTGATTTATAAAGATTGTATTCATTGTCTGTATGAAGAAAAGAATTTAGAAGAACAAGTAATTAATATTATTCATTGGATTCAAAAAGTAAATAACCATAATTAACATGAAATAAACCTTTTATTTGATATTATTTATTCTTCATTTTTTTTACCCATTAAATATTCATGCATAGCTTCTACAGCAACATAAGTATCTCCAACAGCATGAACAATTGATTTTGGTCCTGTAACACAATCTCCTGATGCATAAATACCTTCAACATTTGTTTGGAATTTATCATTAACTTGAAGAGTTTGCCATTTAGATAATTCTACATCTTTACAACATTCAGTTTCAACTCCTTGTGAAATGGCTTGAATAACCATATCACAGTCAATAACAAATTCACTGCCTGGAATTGGAACTGGTGCAGCTCTTCCAGATGCATCTGGCTCTCCTAATTTCATTTTAATACATTCAATTCCTTTAACTTTTCCATTCTCATCTCCAATAATTTTAGTTGGATTACACAATGTCATCATAGTAACTCCTTCTTC